TAGCCTTTGTTGATTTCTGTTACTCTTCTGTCATTACACCCAAAATGCTTGGGAATTTCTTGTACAAACAAAATATTATTTCGTTCAATGCATGTGCTGCTCAGTTGGGCTGTTTCCTGACCTTCATGACAGCTGAGTGCTTGCTACTGGCTTCCATGGCCTATGACCGGTATGTGGCCATTTGTAACCCTCTGACATATACACTGCTAATGTCCCCAGGAATCTGCATTCAGCTTGTGGCTGCTCCCTATAGCTACAGCATCTTGGTTGCACTGTTTCATACCATCCTCACCTTCCGCCTCTCCTATTGCCACTCCAATATTGTCAACCATTTCTATTGTGATGACATGCCTCTCCTCAGGCTAACTTGCTCAGACACTAGCTCCAAACAGCTATGGATCTTTGTCTGTGCTGGTATCATGTTCATTTCCTCCCTTCTGATTGTCTTTGTCTCTTATATGTTCATCATTTCTGCCATCCTGAGAATGCGCTCAGCTGAGGGAAGACAGAAGGCTTTCTCAACGTGTGGCTCCCACATGCTGGCAGTCACCGTATTCTATGGGACCCTGATTTTTATGTACTTACAGCCTAACTCTAACCATGCCCTGGACACAGACAAGATGGCCTCTGTCTTCTACACAGTGATCATTCCCATGTTGAATCCTCTGATCTACAGCCTTCGGAATAAGGAGGTGAAAGAAGCTCTGAAGAAAGTCATCATTAATAAAAACCAGAATTTTGTGTTTATTAAATTAGGAAAGTGGTTTGAATAAGTAAAAATGGACTTTTGTTATGGTATGATTTTTTTTCCATAAAATCATATATTAGCAGAATGGCTATTTCTCAATATGTGATCTATCTATATATACATATTTTTGGTGTGTAATACAATTTTCTAGAGAATTTCTCTTAGAATGTCTGGTGTAAAAGTAACTATAATAATTTACACTGCTTCTTTTATTTTTCAAATGAAAAATATATTAAAATTGTTAATTGTGTTGCATAATATTTTATACCAATTTTCTCATTTCTCAAATGAAGGGTCCATAAAAAGTCATCATCAATATACATAATTAGTTATTACATCTTGTTCAGAGCACAGACAAAAGTTAACTCTTCTCATCCATCTCCGGTTCAGGATTCTGAAGCTATATTTACAATATCCCAATATTAGATGATGTGAAAGATAAAGACACATCATCTAAAAATTTTCTTTCTCAATTCCTAAAAGATATGACAATATAAAAATGTCCCATATTTATACATTTAATATATTATCTTTATTATACAGAGTACTGTTTTCTAACCTCCCCTATGGCACTGATCGAACATGCCTTCTAGTTCCTGGAAGTCTTGTTCTGTCTCTGAAGACTAATTCTCTAAGATAATGCTTTTCTTATGCCTACAAGATCTCATTATACTTTTTCCCAAAATGTGAAAAGTGTAACTCAGGGATAGAATTCTGGAGGGAGTAGGGGAGGGCATTATAATTCAAACAAACATATTCACAGTAATTGAATCATCATAAATCATTTTACCAGTAACAAGGATTATATGAAGTTGTGTTTGGCAAAGCTCAGGTAAGCTGGTCATTATTTATTAAGGTATAGCTTATAACACAATGAACCCAGTAGGCAATACAGCTAAGTGAATAAGCACATGGCTTATAGTCAAAGAACATGGTTAGATTCCAAGCATGGCATTGTGCTCCATATGTGCTCTTACCAGTTTATTCATCAGATAAATGAGAATACTGTTACTCAGTTTAGAGACTTTTTGAGGACTAAGCAACATGGAAAGGGGTAATAGCTCATGGTAGACGCTTGTATATCATTTCCCTTCCTTCTATAAACCTGCTAACTTGAATGCTAGCCTACTAATTATAACTCACATGAACTTGAGGGAGCAATTTATAAGTGAGGATTATTAACAACTCAGCTGATAAATTGATAAATGTGATAGAGGGAGTATGTGTAAAAATCTTAAAGTATTTTTTTAACTTTTATTTAAAGTCATGGGTAGAAGTGCAGGTTTGTTATATATGTAAACTGTGTCATGGAGGTTTGTTGAATAGATTTTTTCATCACCTAGGTATTCAGCCTAGTACCCATTAGTTATTTTTCCTGATTGAGTCCTTCCTCCAGCTTCCAGCCTCCGAAGGGCCCCAGTATGTTTCGTTCTCCTCTGTGTGTTTATGTGTTCCCATCATTTAGCTTAAGAAACGTTTGATTTTGTGACTCATGCCTATCATTTAATATTTTTGCTTCACTCTTTTCATCTATACCCTATTTCAATACTTAATGTCAGAAGACTAGAAAGATACTATTAATGCCCACTGAGAAGTCATCTTTTGGCCTGGTGTTCCCTTCCTCAGATACCTGTTTCCTCCTTCACTCCTGTACCACAGTTAGTTCTGTACAGAAACAGAAAAAGGGCTTGTTATAAGAATAAGGGCTAATAAGAATGATGGAGCATCTTAGGAAATAAAGATTAGGGAAAGATTAATAAGGAAATCAAGATTAGGGAAATCATTGAAGGGCTAGGTAAGCTACAGCTCGAAGATGAGCAGAACAGATCATGAAGATCTTAGCCCTAAACAGCAATGCAAATGCCCCCAGGAAACTTGGCATAAATAAGAATCCCTGAGAAAACTCCTGTCCTAAGTAGCAGGGAAGGGGGCACTGCAGTTTGTCACTGTTTCGGAGCTCCCATATCTTCTCTGTGTGCATTCACAACTGGCATTACATAAATGTTTTCTATTGACACAAAAATGATGAATTTAAAATTGAAAAACATAATGGCTTAAACAAACGCAATTTGTTATCTACCACGTGTTGTAGGACAGTTTCTGTACTGGGCTGTGCTTGGCTAATCTTGTCTGCATCCACTCATGAGTTTGTACTCAGCTTGTGTGTTGCCTGGAAACAAGCTGACCTAAGATGTCCCCACCTGTGAAAACTGCTTTAGCAGCACATGACTTCTCATCTGCCAACAGGTTAGCATGCATCTGTGGTCCTGGCAAAGGCAGAAGAGCAAGACAGGACGTTGAAATACACTACGCCTTTCTCAGGCCTACATTTGTGTCAAGTCTGTTATCAAAACATCAGCTATAAACAAGTCACATGACTGAGGTCAGAAGCAGAATACAGAAGTACTACACATTTATAGAAGAAGAGCATGATTACAGAGAAGCCTTTAACTGGGGCTGTTAATTCTACTAATTAGTCTACTGTGCCTGAAAAATGAGCTAGAGCAGCATTCCCAATTATGACGTATTAAGTCTCCGACACTCTCGTATGTTCATATTCAAAGCACTGGGTATATTCCTTTGGAAAAAATCTGAAAAGGAGCTATTGCATTAACATGCTGTAGTTTAGGAAGGTCCTGCTTCAAGGAAATTCAGTTCTCATTTCAATAAAATGTTTTATTATTATAAGTTCTGAGGTACATGTGCAGAACGTGCAGGTTTGTTACATAGGTATACACGTGCCATGGTGGTTGACTGCATCAATCACCCTGTCATCTACATTAGATATTTCTCCTAATGCTATCCCTCCCCTAAAACCCACCCCCTGCTATCCCTCCCCTATCTCCCCACTCCTCAACAGGAACTGGTGTGTGATGGTTCTCTCCCTGTGTCCATGTGTTCTCTTTAATCTATGTTTGGACTTAGTTATGAAAAAATCCTAAGGAAAAAATTGTTCATTGTGACTTGTGTTATTAGTTTTTTTTTCTCGCTAGCTCTGTATTTTGTCTAAATACACAAATGGAAAAAACATTTTTAAATACTATGCTTTATGTGTCCTCTACAACTATAGAATTATATACAATTATTAAACAACATCAACTGCCCACTCATCTAAACCCAGGAACACCACAACCCGTAACCCATTATCGTAGAAACTGGGTTAAGTACCTCAGTTACAGCCTAACAAAGTATTGTAACCCAATACCAGTATTGCATCCACCTTGTTGTGGCCATTTCAGAATAACAACATTCCTACTGTTATTAGAGAACACAGGTCTGTAGGTCCACTCCATTCATACAGCCACTACTGAGCCCCTAAAAAACATACCAGTTCCCTCTATGCTAGTGCATTCCTTATTGCCCAAGCAAAGACACTGTCTTCTGTGACTTCCTAAAAATATAGACAGGTAAGGAGTTTTTATTTCTACATAATAAATTCATCATCACACTCCTACATTTCTCAATTTTTTTCCTGTGTCTTCATTACTATGTGAGAGTATTTCTAGTTATCTGTTTCGTGTAATGTCAGGCATCTTTCAATATAGACTTTAAGGAGCCATCTTAGAGAATTTCTAGAACAAGCTTCAGCTATTATTAGCAAACGTTCTTTTAGATGAAGGAGTTCATCTATTTCTGTTGAATGACAGAAGCTAGGTGCCAATTAACTGTGGTTTGTATGCATTCTTCTCCTAGGGAGGACAACAAAATTTTTTTTAAAAAATTAATTCTTGCTGTTGAACTACAATGCCAATTATAACAATACATTGTGATATTAATCTCAGAAGTCAGATTTAAGTGTTATTAACTGGAAAAGTTATCTTTCACCTAAAACTTTATAAAATCTGTTGCTATATATGAGGCCCACAGCTCAACATTTATTTTAAATAAATTCATAATTGTAATCAAAAGCCGATGTAACAAAATTAAAGCAAGAGTAAGAAATAATCAAAGCAGATATAGCCATTAATCAAATTGTTTTCCCAAAAGAGATCATTAAAATATTTCTCGATTCCCTACTCATTTATTGACTAATCGCTGAAAGAGTACTCTACCATTTCAAGGGAAATAGTTTTGTCCCCAAACACTAAACATCAAATAATTGCCTGTTACTGAATAATCATTATGCTGTTTTACAATGTTTGTTTAACAAAAGTAACAATAAATAAAAAGTTTCCAGAGGGACCATAAAGAAAAAATAATACAAAGCTGTCTCATGTCCAGGTTATTTTAAATGTTACTGGCTTCACAAAGGTTGCTTTCAAGTGCAATGTACTATTTGGAGATTTATTGTTGAACTGAAAGACAGCGTTTTGAATATAGAAAGACATTAGGGAGTAGAAAAAACAGAAAACTCAAACTGTGTTGTGGGAAAGGCATCAAACATATGACTACTACTTCTATTCGCTTAATGTTTAACAGATAATTATTGATGATTTATTTATACTAGATACTACTAGAGGTAAGTAATTAAAATGGGTATAATTTAGGAATTAAAACTTGCTTGAAAAGAAGAGTTTCAAGTTTAGGGTGTGTTACAGAAATGTTAACAGTTGGTTGCAATATAGTGTGGTAAGTGCTATCTTAAAGCAATCAGTGGATGCAGAATAGTGTATATGAGAAGCACCAATTTTGGCCTAGAAGGTCATGAAAGCCTCTAGGAGGAAACGTTTAACAGAATAATTTAAAGTTAAGTAGAAGACAAATCAGGGATAGGTAATAATAGCCGAAGAAAAGTGTTCTGGGCACAGAAGGAAACCCATATAGATATGCAGATCATGTTTGAATAACTGCGATAGTTGATCATATCTGGAATGTGAAGGCCACATGCAGAATCCCGCAAGAGATGATTCTGGTCTGAGACTCATGGCCTAGGTTTTCCCTTTCCTTCCTTCCTTCCTTCCTTCCTTCCTTCCTTCCTTCCTTCCTTCCTTCCTTCCTTCCTTCCTTCCTTCCTCCCTCCCTCCCTCCCTCCCTCCCTTTCTTCCTTCCTCTCTCTCTCTCTCTTTCTTTCTTCTTTCTTTCTTTCTTTCTTTCTTTCTTTCTTTCTTTCTTTCTTTCTTTCTTTCTTTCTTTCTATTTCTTTCTTTCTTCTTTCTTTCTTCTTTCTTTCTCTCTCTCATTCTGTCACCAGGCTGGAGTGCAGTGGCTTGATCTTGGCTCACTGCAACTTCCACCTCCCAGGTTCTAGCAATTCTCGGCTTCAGCCTCCCAAGTAGCTGAGACTACAGGTGTGCACAAAGATGCCCAACTAATTTTTGTATTTTTTTTTTTTGTAGAGATGGGTTTCACCATGTTGGCCAGGATGGTCTCGATCTCTTGACCTCGTTGTCTGCCAGCCTCGGCCTCCCAGAGTGCTGGGATTACAGGTGTGAGCCACTGTGTCTGGCCAGGGCCTAAGTTTTCAAGAAGTATGGTAGCCATGTTAAAAAAAAAAGAGAGAGAGAGAGAGAAAAGAAAAGAAGCCTCGGACTTTATCTTAAGGGCAATGGAGAAGGCATTAAGAGATTTAACCAGGAGAGCATTGGAATAAAGTTTGTATCTGTAAAGTTTATTTCAGCTGCGATGTAAGGAAGAGAGAGAAGGAGGAAAGACTGAGGGCAAGAATATGAGTCAGTTGTCAGTTACAATAAAGCAAAAAAACTAATTATTGTTGCATCAAGAGAAAAATGTAAGTTAACAGATTTTAAAAGCATGTTAGATATAACATTGTTAGTAACTGGAAACATGAAATATTGGTATAAGAAACAGGAATGCATAGTAAAAAATGATTGGTCCCTGATTTGAAAAACTGAGTGAATAATGTCACTATTCACTTAGAGAAAATATATACTCCAGGTCTTGAATATTAGGTTTAACATGCAGAGATGCCAAATAGAGAAAATAAATCTGAAATAGAAATATATGTGTCCATAGCCAGAATATAGATGCTTACTGGAGACATAGGCTTGAATAAAATCACTGAACAAGAAAAGTGTAAAGAAGAGAGCACGGGGGTTTAGAATCTGAAGTACATGTCACCTAAAGCATATATAATAGAAGCAGCACCTCCAAGGTACAAAATCAAAATAAACAACCTAGAGACTACTTTGTTTTGGAAATCTAAGGTGTATTAACAGAATCCAGTGTTGCTACTCTGCCAAAGAAAACTAGGCTGGATTGAATTTGGGGATAGTGAGGTCAATAGTGAAGTTGGTGAGGAGATTTGGTTTAATGGGAAAGGAAGGCAAATTGCACTTGATTAAGTTATGAGTATGATTGATAAACTAGAGGCCTGCTCTAAGATGTTTAACTGAGAAGTGAAAGTGACAGAAAAGAGTATTTTACCTGCCTTGAAGATCTGCAAGATACATGTAAAGCAACCTGAGACAATATAATTATGAAGGAGAACGGAGTTAACTTATCCTGTGCTCTGCTTGAGAAATGCAGGGAGCAATTTAATTCTGCCAGTTTTCAAGCAGTCAGAGACCAGTTTGGGTTTGAGAAAACGGTCTGTAGAATTGAGCTCTTCAAAACGCTGCCCAAATGCTATACACTTTGGACCATTTAGATATCTAAAGTTAAATCATGTTTTTCAGTCAGCTAATGCTTTTTATAATCTGTAAAATTGTTCAGAGGTGTGTACTCTTCCAGAAAGACAAAGCTAGAATATTTAAAAATCCTGTTATTCTTTAATATTAATATTAAATGTCAATTAAACAAAAAAACAGAGATAAGGAAAAAAATAAAATTTAAAAATTACTCCAACCTGGATGTCCAAAAAGATAAAGAGTGTTAATATTTTGATTTTGACTCTTTATATTAGATTGTCCTCATTTAATTTTGTTAATTTGTGATATCCTTGTGAACAAATATATCTGTGTATGATTTCATAAAATAAACTTATAATTTAGGAAATAATTTTATATATATTGTCACTATTACATTCTTAGCATTGCAATGTGTGCGATTTTTTGGGGGGTGGTTTCAAGAAAAGTACAACATAGATTTTGCTGTTGTATTAATTACAGTGTTTTATTTAAAATTCTTTTATTTTAAACTCCTTAATGAATTACATATCTTAGAATTTCTGTCTGAATCAAATTATGTGACTCTGAAAGCGTAAGGAAAATTTATGTATAATTCAAAGTACTTATCAGAACTTTAATTAAATTTAATATAATATCCTGGTAAGTCATGGCTATCTTCTCACATTTAATTGATCATTTCTTATAGCATCAAGATTATTCAGAAGGTGTGCTCTGGAGTTCATTTTAGAGGAATCCTGTATGTATTACATGGCAAAAGGCAATCATTCATCAGTGACTGACTTCATTCTCCTAGGGCTCACAGATAATCCGAAACTTCAAGTCCTTCTCTTTGGTGTATTCCTACTGATTTACTTAGTTACTGTTATGGGTAATCTTGGTTTAATTGTGCTAATCCAAATCAGTCCTCAGTTTCACACACCAATGTATTTTTTCCTTAGCCATCTGGCTTTTGTGGATTTTTATGGTACCTCTGCTATCACTCCAAACACCCTTGTCAACTCTTTGCGTGAAATTAAAAGCATGTCATTTTATGCATGTGCCACTCAAGTGTGTTGCTTTATCACATTTTCAGTTTGGGAATTACTGTTGCTCTCTGTCATGGCATATGATCGGTATGTTGCCATCTGCAACCCTTTACTCTACGTAGTTCTCATGCCTAGGGGGCTCTGCATTAAAATGGTCACTAGCTCATATATTTACGGATTCACTGTGGGACTCATACAAGCAATGGCCACATTCCACATGTCTTTTTGTGACTCTAATGTGGTTAACCAGTTCTACTGTGATGATGTTCCTCTGATTGCTCTGGCTTGTTCAGATACACAAGTCAAGGAGTTAATGTTGTTCATTATTGCTGGGTTCAATGTTTTTTGTTCTCTTATCGTTGTTCTCGTCTCCTATGTTTTTATTGTCTTTGCTATCCTAAGGATCCACTCTGCTGCAGGAAGACAGAAAGCCTTTTCTACCTGTGCTTCTCACGTGTTTTCTATTTCCATATATTATGGGACCCTCAGTTTTATGTACCTACAGCCTAAGTCAAGCCATGCACTAGATAAAGACAAATTTGCCTCAGTATTCTATACAGTGGTGATTCCCATGCTAAATCCATTGATCTATAGCTTGAGGAATCAAGAGGTAAAAAATGCTATGAAAAAGATTATTAAAAAGATGTATTCTAGTAATCAACAGTAAAATCTGTTGGTACTAAAAGAAATGTTACATACAGAGTCAGGATATTTTGAATCAAGTCTTGTAAAATGCTAGTATATGTAGAAGTCTTTGTCCTATGGGGCTTATTTTCCTTGAAAATATGTATTTTTATTGCTTTGTCTTACAAATGATAAGCACTTTATAAATGTTCATTTTACTGTTGAACTGTAAAAGAGAGATAAGAATAATCTCTCTTTAACCATGAGATGTTTCAACATTAAATAGAAATAAAAAAGAAATTACCTTGAGATTTCAACTTTACCTTATTTCACTACAATATTGAGAATTTTAGGTTATCTTGAGAGACATGTACCATTATTATTATTGCATGTAATATTGCAAATACCAGGTAAGGTTTTCTTCCATAGCTGAACTGGGAGAAAAATAGCAAGATGCTTGGTTGAAAGATTTTGGTTTGAATATCCCTTACGAGTTAGATTATCCTTCACTTTACAATACCTTACAGATTTGATTGAATAGTTTTATGTGATCACTTAAGCATGATCCCTCACTGTTACCCTCACATTCAGCCAGCACATTTGCTGAACTGATGCATAAGCTATTTGTCCTGGTTGCTCTCCCTCCCCTCGTCCCCCACCCCACAACAAGTTCCATTGTGTGTTGTTCTTTTCCCTGTGTCCATGTGTTCTCATTGTTCAACTCCCACTTATGAGTGAAAACATGACATGTTTGGTTTTCTGTTCCTGCCTTAGTTAGCTGAGGATAATGGCTTCCAGCTTCATCCATGTCCCTGCAAGACATGATCTCATTTCTTTTTATGGCTACATAGTACACCATGGTGTACCACATTCTTTTTTATCCAGTCTATCATTGATGGTCATTTGGGTTGGTTCCATGTCTTTCATATTGTAAACAGCACTGCAATAAACATACGTATGCATGTGTCTTTATAGTAGAATAATTTATATTCCTTTGGGTAAATACCCAGTAATGGGATTGCTGGTTTTTCATGAGTTCATGATTACCACTGAACTTACGTCTTCTTAAAGACCAGTTGTTTATCCAGTATAGGTGCATAGCACTGATACCTAATGGGTTATCATAAATAATTTGACTTAGACTGTGGAGTTCATTTAAATTGTATATTTAAACAATTTAATGTTGGCTGATTTAGCATGATAATACAGAACTTGATTTTGAAAGGTTTGTTCAATACCAAAAGTTTAAAATGTTGGATATTACAAAATAGAATCTTATGGTACATAATTCATTCATTTAGCTCAAATGATAACTCAAAGATTTTTAAAGGAAAAAACATTATTCTGTTTTTTCTTGTTTTTGTTTTTGTTTTGAGACAGAGTTTCGCTCTTGTTACCCAGGCTGGAGTGCAATGGCACAATCCCGGCTCACCGCAACCTCTGCCTCCTGGGTTCAGGCAATTCTCTTGCCGCAGCCTCCCAAGTAGCTGGGACCACAGGCACGTGCCACCGTGCCCAGCTAATTTTTTGTATTTTTAGTAGAGACGGGGTCTCACCAGGTTGACCAGGATGGTCTCAATCTCCTGACCTCATGATCCTCCCACCTTGACCTCCCAAAGTGCTGGGATTACAGGCTTGAGCCACCGCGCCCAGCCAAAAACATTATCCTGATAGGGAGGAGACTCAGCTCTCCAAACAAGACCCAATGAAGACAACATGAGGATGACTGACTCTGTCTCCCTTCTTTCCTATCGCCTCTTTTCTCTTTTGTAATGTCCTTAGAAAGCAAACAAAAACATTTAATTATCTTTTAATATTACATAAAAATCCTTTTGAAAAGAGAAAAACAAATTTTATGTTTCCATTAATGTATTTAATGTTAAAGTTAGTTTTTAATAACATTTAATAAATCTATTCAGTTTTAATTATTTTGACCATAAGATTTTTATAAACCTTTTACATTCCTTTACATTGTTTTTCCCTCAGAGCAGAACAATGATCTAAGAAAACTCTGTTGTGCTTCTATTCCAATGTCCAGTTTATAGTGAACAAAACCTGAATAATGCCATCTTAACTTTAGTCACTATTTTCACACATAGAATCTCTTATAATTAATTTCTATAAACTTTTCACAACTTATCCAAACCTTTATGTAAACAATCCTTCAACCCTCTAACCTAGTCAAAGATTTACATTCCTATACTTTTTTATAATCTCTTACAAAAACACATTTTATTGTCCTTACAAATACCGTTGTAAACTTATTTTTTCAGTAGTCTCAATTAATATATTAAAATTTTAACTCTAAGCAACTTTTACCTTTGGTGAAGGCCTTGGTCTGTAAGGAATTTTAACTATGTACTAGATGTGGAGCCTTGGACCCAGACAGAAATGCAGATAAGGCGTGAGTCTTTCCAGCATCTAACTCCATGTGTCCCAGGCCTTATCTAGCTGTAAAGCAGAGAAGCTGTACAGTTAAGAGTCATAGTAGCATTTTCTGAAGCATTTAGGAGGTCCAATCACCTTTAAATTTTACACCATTTTTGGCATAAATTTGTTTTAATAAATTCTTTCACAACTTACATCGACCATGTAACAACATATTGAGACTTTCTGACTTTTCTAAATATTCCTCATTTTACACAACCAGTCATTTTACTTCAGGACAAGAATTTACCATGCAACCTCATTTCTTATATAGAATCTATTTTCTCTATAACCTTCTTTACATAGCTGGGGGTCACGCCTAATTCCATATATCCCCAGGCGTTACTTAGAATTTAATGTCTTCAAAATACATTGAATAATTTTCAAAGTCAAAGCAGTTTATGACCTTAAAGCATTTAGCAAACCTAATATCTGACTTGCCTAATTTAGTCAAAATGTCTTTATCAATAGTCTTTCAAACTGTTTTCATTTCCCAAAGATTACTAAAGTTGCATATACTAAAAGGCATTACAGTTTTTATTTTGCTTTCAAAATATTTGATTTAAGCACTTATTTTTATGTCAATTAATTAGAACTCTTCTATATAAACATTACAGGCAACACATCTGTAATTACACAGACAGACAGAGGAAGAGTACTACAGTAGTTCTTAAGACTTTTCATTTGCCAATTTTTAAATTTATTCATTGGTGATTGACTTTAGGGTGGAGCCTTCAGAATAGGGTAGAAAAGGGGTCTCTGGTGCCTCTTGTTTTTCCCAAGGAGTGTAGGTTGTTAAAGCTTGCATATCCACTTTTAATTAAGCTGACTTTTAACAACAGTTCTCTTTAATAAAGTGCTTTTAAGTTTCTTTATTAGCCAATTTTCACCAGGCCAAATGGCCAATCATTCTGGCCTTTAAATATTACCAAAGGTAACCTCCCGGGTGCTCAGAGAAAGGAAAAGTTAACATAGTCCGTGGAGGAGAAGACTCTAGACAAGTTAATGCAGATATTAAAACAGAAAGGACTTACCTCATAAGCATAGAATTGAACCCAGACCACCAGTGTGAAAGGCCAAAACCTCAGCTACTGAGCTACAGCACAGGGAAATTTCCATTGCTTTTCCCAGGAGGAGTCAAGAATAGTTAATTTCAAGCTTCCAGAGGCTTTTAGTAGTCAAGGTAATTTTTAGAGCTATTACATAAACCCTAAAATTTCTGTTCCCTGAAAGGCAGAGACTAAGAGAAAGTACTGCCATGTGATTGCAAAGTTAAGTTCCCAAGGACATAAAACAAGATGGAGATGGAGACTACATCCAATTTGTTTGTTTGTTTGTTTGTTTGTTTGTTTCAGAGACCTGCAGGAAAGTTTGATATTGACCAGCTTGCTGGGCTATCCTGAGCAGCAAGCTTACATAGTCCTAAGCCCATGTTTTATACTGAGGTACCCCTCGACACAGAAAAACAAGTTCATAGCACAAATACATCATTTTAAGATGGAGTCTTATGGGGTCCTAAGCCCATGTTTTATCCCGAGGTACCCCTCAACACAGAAAACAAATTCATAGCACGAATATATCAGTTTTAGACTAGTCTCAGAATTCTCTTTTGCATTAATCAAAACTTTACAGAAGAGATAAACAGTGATTTTTACCATTCATTCAACTGTTTGCACACAGAGAGAGAAGCCAGAAATCTAAATGATTTCACCAATAATAATAAAGCTGCTATTTACTAAGTTCTTTTAGGTGTCAGCTATCATGCCAATGTCTCCATACATGTTTCAACTACATACTCAGACCGCAGCTTGTGAAATTTGCATTTCTTATTTTATAAGTAAGTTGAGCTTTACATACAATGTATTAGGAGTATCAAAACTCAAATCTGGGGCTAAATCTTTCTGGAATCAAGCACGTTCTTCACTGACCTTTGGCACTGCTAAAGTCATATTTTTTGTCACTCTCTGTATTCTTTACTCAGATACATAAACATCATAGAGATCACAAACAGAGGGGTGACAAATACAAATATTTATTTAAATATACCCGGAGATAGAATAGTGTTTATTTCAATGTTTTGACTGAAGGACTGGTGTTTTAGGAGATGAACCCAGTGACCCAGAGCAATTTTCAGTAGACAGTTTTAGAGGCTGCACAGAACTGCCTGTGTCTGCTCCAAAATAAACAGAAATACACATCTATTGAGTATACTTGAATTTCTTAGCTCATTTCCTTTAGAACATCTAGGCATATCTCAATATGTGATTGTTAATAGTAGGGAGTTATAACTGTAAGACATGAAAAATTCAATTAATGTTTAAACATTGCTACTGTAAATAATTGGATAAAGTAGACAGGTACAGTGAAACTACAGAAGATCATTGTCCTCCAGGTGAGCTTTCAGGATTTGTAGACCTGAATCCCACTACCTGTAAAAAGAGAGACCATCTATTTCATTCCTATTTGTCATGTCTCTGATATGTGAGAAAATTGTGTGTGTCCATCAATAAATATACACTCACCAGACCAAGTGTGGAAAGTAGAAAAACCAGGTTTCTCTGTTAAACCTGTTTTAAAAATCAGATAATTCACTCCACTTACAAGGTTCTAAAAGCATCTTCTGGTAGCATGCTGAGTCATTTACAAAGAAAGTACAGAAGAAGAAATAATCACAGTATATTGCAAACCTCACATTGTATCTTATATAATGGCTGCAAGTATCATCATCTCTTTGTAAAATGGAAAAAATACAGGATAACTTTAAACTACTACTTTTTCTGATTTGTCAAAATAATAAAAATATATCATATCACTATTTTTTAATCATATTCCATCACCCACAAGGGTGAGTGAATAAATAGCAGGCATGGATAAATTACATA